TGTCAAAAAAAAGGGTGAAAGCGTTGAAGGACACACTTTGATTGAGAAAGAGTACGCACCGGTGGGGGGGGATCAACAGTAATTATTCTTCTGAAATGAGAGTTCAACAACAACAACAACAACAATCATTTAAGACTGGGGACACTCCGTTCTCACCAGTGCCAGGGTTTTCATAGGAGGCGGGCAATACCCCCACTTTGTGGGGGGGCCGGTCCAAGCTCTACTAAGTTTCCAAACGACTCTTCGCCACCACCCACACCCAGCTTCCCGCCCTATGACGTTCGGACACTTCACTTCGTGGCCTGCGGACGACCTTGGCTACTACACTGGCGCATGGGTACAGTGACTTGTCGTGGTAACATTTCGTGGAAGCTAGCTTAGTATACGACTTTCCCCCTGTTCCAACACTGGACACCTGTACCGTTTTCCGACGTTTTTCCGTTTCTGTACCACACAAGCGAAGACACTTATTTTGAGTGGCACCACGTGCGTGGCGCCAGCATACCACAGGACTTGTTTCCGTTGTTGTGAGACGATACATGCTCATTCTTGTTCTGCGGTTGTCGTTCCGGCCTCAATGTGCAATACTGGCTCATTCGTCTACGAAATACACGTGACTAGCTCTCTCTGGTTGGAGGTCCTGATGGTTGTGGTTGTCCCGATGGTTGTCGCGATGATTGTCCCGATGATTGCCCCGATTGTTGTTCCGATGGTTCTCCCGATGGTTGTCCCGATGGTTGTCCCGATCGTTGTCCCGATGGTTGCCCCGATGGTTGTCCCGATGGTTGTCCCGATGGTTGTGGTCGCCCCGATCGTTGTCCCGATGGTTGCCCCCATGGTTGTCCCGATGGTTGTTCCGATGGTGGCCCCGACGGTTGCCCCGATGGTTGTCAGCGATGCCGGATCCTCACGCCCCCCGCCGGAGGAGGAGGAGGAGGAGGAGCAGGACAAGGCGCGGCGGCTCTGGACACACACGTGCTCTGGAGACATACTAAAGAGACGAGTCTTTGTGCTCATCATCTTCTGGCATACGCCCGTCTCTAATGGCACGCATCGGGCGCAATACTGCAAGCTGCGCTCCTGGCAGCAATACATCAGGGGCCAAGTGTCCAAGCATTGCGCCGATACGCCTCCTCGCGGATACATCGCCCGTGCGTGCGCGGGGCGCCAATACCGCCAGGACGCCCTGGACATGCGCCGGCATACCCAGATCCACCTGGTAATCCATGACATTCCCATACTCGGACTGCCCGAAAGAACGCCATACTGGCATGTGCCACCAATGGTCCTGCTTCGGGAAATAGGTGATACCATCCTTGACGTCGTCGGAGGCATTCCACAGAGCCATAGATGGCGGCTCCATACCCATGGATCCCGTGTGTGTTGCCACAAATACATCCAGGCTCGCCATGCGCCTGTATGACAGACCTGATACCACCTCGGAATGCACGTGAATACGCAGGAGCTGCAACAACCTGCGCAAGCCAGCATACACCCAGCCGCCGTGCCCGACGAAGACGTGCGATCTCCAGTTCGCTATACCGGCTTGGGTGCACAGCCGATGGAATACTTCCGAAAGTGTGCCCAGATACTTCGCGGCTGAATCTGCGAAAGGATTCGGACAGCGCGCGCGGGTAGAAATTTTGAAAATTCGAACAGATGTTTTTCGAGAACCTACGGTGCGATTCGTATGATTTTATGTTGCGCGGTGCTAAAATTCCTAAGAAACCCAATGATTGTTGAAGATTTCGGCGTGCGCGCGCGAAAAAAAAACGAATGTGTCCCACATGGAATTATTTGACAGGGATGATGGCCCTGGCAGGCGCGCAACCTTTGTTGCAGAAGTTCGAATCACGTGAAAAAGTTGCTCGCAAGAGCCCGTTTGACAGAAATGTTGAAAAAGTATTGGGTTTCCTAAGAAATCCGCAAGAGCGCGCGGGGTGAATGTTTGAAACCCTTTTTTTGAAAAACCATTGGGTTTTTCATGTTTTTATGTGAAAATCGCTACGAAGACTAAGGTTTTGGAAGGATTTCGTCTTGCGCGCGCGAATGTGCACTTCGTGTCATTTTTTGCAAGGGATTCTTGAAGTTTGGTCATGTTAGAACAAGAAATGTCCACTTTGCCTTATTTTTTGCAAGGGAAAACCGATCGTAACAACACAACCGGATCTGGTATACCCCGTTTTGCCTGAGACTTCCTCACGAAAATGATGAAAATGTGGCTGCGGCCTAGGCGCGGCGGGGGGGGCGCGCACCAGGGGCCCCAACAATAATTATTCTTCGGAATTAATAATGTTCAACAACACCACCACCACCACCACCAACAACAACAACAACAACCACAACCACAACCACAACCACAACCACAACAACAAGTACAACAACAACAACAACAACAACAACAACAACAACACCAACACCAACACCAAAACAACAACAACAACAACAACAACAACAACAACAACAACAACAACATGAACCACAACAACAACAACAACAACAATAGTTTTAAGACTGCTCGCCCATATATGCTCGAGCGTCCAATAACGCGTATTTCCCAAACCCTCGATACCCGCCCTCTTCGTCTTCGATCGAACCCCCCTTGGGGGGTATACCTTTCTTCCCTGCAGGCCGGGCCCCGGCAAGCGGCGGGGGGGCCGCGGACCGTCGGCCTGGCCAGCGGCAGCGCTGATCGGCGGGGCGGCCGCGGACCGTCGACCCGACCCCAAGAGGGACGGACAGGGGACCGACCACGACGACGACGACGACGACGACGACGACGACGACGTCGAAGACGACGGCGACGACGACGACGACGACGGCGACGACGAGCGAAAGCGAGAGCGAGAGAGAACGACAGCAGGGCCACGAAGGGCACGAAGTAGGCCACGAAGGGCGACAGCGGGGACACGAAGGGAATGCGTATGGGGCCACGAAGAACGCGAACGAGCGGGGGCCACGAAGTGCAGATAATGCGGGGCCACAGAAGGCAACTATGGGGCCACTGAGGGTAGCAACTGGGCCACGTACGACAGTGAGGGGGACACAGATGGCGACAGCGGGGCCACGAAGGGCATGCACATGGGGCCACAACGGGCGCGACTCCTGGGTGCCTGGGTGTCGGGAGCGCGGCGCTTGGGCAAATTGCAAGAAATTCCAACGCAAGGCCATTCTTCAGTGAGTTGCAAGCAAGTCTCCAGCGAGAGCGCGACTCCAGAGCGCCGGGAGAGCGATTCCTGAATAAATTGTAAGGAAGTCTCAAGCGAGAGCGCGACTCCTGAATCAAATGCGAGGAAGTCTCGGGCGGGAGCGAGGGTCCTGGCTAAATTGTAAGGAAGTCTCAGGCGGGAGCCGTTGTTGTTGTAACCAACAACAACAACAACAACAACAACAACAACAACAACAACAACAACAACAACAACAACAACAACAACAACAACAACAAAATGTGACTGCACGTGCTCTGGACGTGCGAAGCGAGAGGAATCCACATCCAAAGGCGATATGATGAGCGGCAGCGTTATTCGGCGAACGCACTAACGCAACACACCAAGACGGCTCCAGAGGCCTCCAAAATGGCCCATAGACGGCTCGAGAAGCCGCCAAGAGGGCCCGCAAGACTGCCCAAAAGGGCACCAAGATGGCCCAAGAGGACCCGAAGACGAACCTGATTTTGGGGGCCCCAAGGGCGGTCTAAGACAGCCCAACAAGCCCCCGAGCAGCCACACGATGTTCCCAAAGGCCCCGAGATACCTCCCAAAGGGCCCCAAAAGGGCACAAACGCACATCCTCTACAGATTCCGACATGCACCCCGCGAAGCAAGAAGAATATTGAAAAACAACCGCACGTTTTGTGATATGTATGGAAATGTGTGATTGGTCAAACGGAATGCGCTGGATACGCGGCACGGTTGCCTTTGCGGGAAGCGCTACCGCTCACCACGTCACATCCCCACGTGGATACAGCTAAATACGCAACCCCACCCCATCCCCCACCCAGCGCCACGCCACATCCACCGACCAAGATGCCCACCCCTTTGGGCCTACAAAGCGTGTTCAAGTTTGCCATATTCGTCCTCCGGAGAATCCAAGAAGGCTCCAAGATGGCTCAAGACGGTCTCCAGACGGTCCCCGACGGTCTCCAGGCGGCCCAAGATGGCGTAAAGACGGCCCAAGAGGGCCCCAAGAGGCTTCCTAAGAGGGCCTCGAGGGGCGACAACCATTGATACTCTGTTGTTGTTTGCCGTATGTTGGCGTATTCCCTAAGATGATCCCAGAGCGCCCCAAGGCGGCCCACGAGGACCCCAAGCGGGCCCCAGAGAGCCCCAAGGGGCCCCCAAGACGGCCCAAGAGTCACACAAGAGCTCCCCCACGAGGGCCCCAAGAGGCTCCCAAGAGATCTCCGACACGGTCCACCTGAAGACGGCCGACGAGGCCCTCAAGACACCCCTCGAGAGCTCAAGAAACCCCAAATGCGCAAACTTCACGCGCTGCTGCCGTGCACCTCAAGAGCGAGAGAAATATCAGGTCGAGTAGCGGCCGCACCTTGAGAAGCGTTAAGAGACTCTTCCCAATCCAGGAATGTCATATGTCACGTTCGTGTCGTGCCGACTTCAACGTTGGTTTCTGACACTGCGGGGATCGTTCAACCTTGAACGATCGGCCGTTTCCGAAACGATAGATCGTTCAACACCGAACGATTCTGGGTCGCCGGCGGCGTTCAACGTTGAACGCCAGCGGCGGGGACGCCGCTGGTCGACACGACGCGAACCGACCGCACCTGCCTGTAGTAGCTGGCCGCTCACACAGTGCGGATGGCTCTGGGGTTCGTGGAGGCGGTCTGGGGCTGCGGCATACCTACGGCCTACGACGTCCTTCTCTGGGCGCACCGCCGCTCCGTCCTTCGAACGTGGCCGAAATGCTTTCCCAAAAGTCCAGCACGCGGGAGAAGGAGCAGCAGAAAGAGGGGGAAGGAGGAGAAGAAGGGGGAAGACTGTTTTTTCGAGACGGGCTGGCGTTCCTGCGCTTCTGTCTCTCGGGTGCACCGCCGCGACCCACACAAAACCCCACCCTTCAGATCATGCTGGAAAGGCGGGCGGGACACGCCTAGGGGGCAGGACGGAGCTGCAGTGGCTCCGACCAGGTCGACGGATACGGAAAGTGGCCGACGGCTACGGAAACGCAAACGCCGTGCTGCCCCTACGCCTCCCCACAACATTCGCTACCTGGCGCGTGCAAAGTGCACGCGCGCAATGAGAAATTGGGCATGCGCCACGAAAATCTAAAATTGGTATGGGGCGCGGCCACAACCTGAAGACAGCAAGTGCGGTCACAGATGCGCGGCTCCGACTACCCCGCGTACACAGTAAGATTCTGATCCGCCACTGCGCCCCTTGGCACGATGAAGAGTGAAATAATGGCAAGTCCTAGAGCCGTGGAAGAACTGACTCCATGGGGACTGCTCAGGATCATCTCAGAAGCCACCAAGAAAGACCTCACGTCTAATAAGACTCCCAAGTGCCTACCAGAAGCCAGCCTTCCAGAGGCTTCTCAAACACGAACTGGAAACAGCTCAAAGACCTCTGAGCAGAAAAGTAAAAAGAAACGCATGTCCACCGGCAAATCCAGAATCCAATATTTGAATCACCCGTCCAACCAGCGCATGCTATTCGGCCGAAGAAACGGCTCTGCCAGGGGGTCAAGCGGAAAGGGGGGACACGGTAATGCTTCCCTAAACTGTTGCTTACGGGGGGGAAGATGGGCGCTCACTTCGCATTACCCGACATGGCGGCCACGCGTTGAGACTCCTTGGCTTTCACGCCTCGGGCGCAAGGCGGGAGGCTTTTCAATATTGTTGATTTGATTAGTTTGACAACGCCCCTCCTCCCCCCCCCCCTTTTGAAGGCCCCCAACCCCCTCCTCCCCCCATTGGGGGGAGGAGGGGTTTGGGGCCCGAGCTAAAACAAACGTTCGCGCGGGTGGGGACCGTCGGGGCGGGGTGGGGGGGAGGGGGGGGCGTTACGATCGCCATAGTGTGCGCGCGAGCACCAGCATATGTGGGGGGTCAGGCCCCCGCCCCTCCCATATGCGATCGTTACCGTTACAGGAAGGTTCAGCCTGGATACCGATCATCACGCGCCGCCACAGGGCACAAAACTATATTTTCCCGACGTTGGAGGCGGGGCAACCGACGGAAGGGGAACTGGGGGCACAAGGAGATGCGCCCGAAAATTGTTGTTTGAAACCACTTTCGGGAAAGACCGCCACGCGTTTTTAACATGTGGTTCGGGGCAAAAAACCGTTCCCAAAAAATTCGTTTCAAGCAGCAAACGGGACACGCCGCCGCAACCATAACCCGAACGCCCAGCACCCTCGGAAAAGTTCGGTCAAACCCAAGCCCCGAAGACCACTAGAGCTTCCCGAAAAAAGTGGCCAAGTGCCCCCCCCCCAAAGAACCCAAAATGCACTCCGATGAGCCCCAAGAACTCCCCGGTAACTAACGCAACAACCATACAACGTTACACCCACGCCACGCAACTGCGTCGCAGCACTGTATCGCAGCACTAATGTGTGCCACGCGTCTTCGGGAAAGTTTTGCGAAATCAAGCCGCGCGCATTACGATGCTGCGTTGGTTCGGCAGTGGGACTCGCTGCAGGCGCCTGGACGCCGCATCGAACAAAAAAAACAGTCAACGACTGGAACGGGATCTACAGAACTGGCGGCAAAACTGCACATCACGCGCAGGCATATTGGGGCGCACAAGCAAAGCCCGAGCCCGAAAAACCCACTAGCCCTCTGGGCTAAAGATGTTGCAATCGTTTCCACTTCCCTCTTTCCCTCTCCCCCTCTCCGGGGAAAGGCCACCATCGCCCCTGATCAATGAACGCCCTCTCCCCCACACGACCAACGGCAAACCCAGGTCACTGCCACACCCCCAGACACACCACCACCACCACCACCACCACCACCCCTTGAGAAAAAATGCGAATGTGCATTTCGCCTTAAAATATGCGGCGGTCCCGCGATCACCTCGCACTGGCGTTATGTGTTATGCATGCACGGCGGGGTGCCTGCATATTGCTTGCTGCGTGCAATCACAACGAAACAAAAAAAAAAAACGCTCGCATAAAAATGCCACATGCACTTCGCAACAAACTGTGAATCATGCGCGGGCGGCCCACATCATATCGCACAACGTCTTTACAAGGACGTCGGGATGTCCGGCGCACTGCCGGCTGCATGGATTGCCAACACACACACACACACACACACACACTTTTTGGTCTGCGGGTCGAGAGCGAGCCTCTTCCGGCCAAGAGCTAGGCGGGCCACGCAAAGCACGAAGTGGGGAGACAGAGCACAGGCGGGCGGGGCCCAGGCGGCCGGAGGGCGGGCCAGGGTGCAGGCGGCGCCGAGGAGCTTGCACGGGAAAAGCAACGCCTTGGACAGGAGCCGGCGGCGCAGTCCCGGAGGGTGAGCGGCGCGGCGTCGCCGTCGACGGCGCATCGAAAACACCATCCTCAAGTGCTGCGCGAGGATGAACGCGACCAGGTCGACGTCCAGGGGGAAGAAGTCCACCATGAAGGCGATGAGCAACGTTGCGCCACCAGATGGTGAGGAAGGGCCCAGGAGATGAAGCGGACTACGAAGGCGATGTGCAGCGTTGCGCCACCGGGCGCCCATCCACCGTCGCCGCCATCAGGGCGGCCACCATCCCCCGACGGCCCCCCTCCACCCGAGGGCCCGCCCCCACAGGGAGGGCCCGATCTCCTTCCAGGGCCGCCCGGACCACCTCTTGGATCATCTCCATCAGGCACGCCGCCTTCAGGGGGCCAGCTAGGCCCTCGCGGCCACAGCGTCTCCTGGCGCCGCGACAACTCCCAAATGAGGGGACCGACCACTGGCTCGGAAAAGTCCAAATCCGGGCAAGCGTCACCTCCCCCCCGCCACCGCCGCCCAGGCCAGGGGCCCCCCCCGTCCGCCGCCCACCGCCACGGGTCGGGAGGTCTTGGCAAGCTTCGCGGGAGCCTTGCCCTTCCCTTCGAACGGTTCTCACGCGTCTCTCTCCCGGCAGCCCAGCGACGAACGCTTCGGACTTGACGGCGTCAGCCCTCCAGGCAAGGGCCCCCCGTCTTCTTCCAGTGACCGAAAGTCGAATTCAATGCCCCCCAGCTGCCCCTCAGCCAGCGCCAAGGCACGATCGTCGTCTCTTCCCTTCTCGCGCTCAGCCACCTCCCCCGTATCCCTGGCCGCCTTGGCCCAGGCCCCACGCGCCGACTCCTCGAATGATTTCTCTCGCTCCATGAGTTCGCCCCTCATTGCGCGGCACCTCAGCCCGAGGGCCCCCACTCGCTCCTCCAGACTAGACTAAACTAAAGATTCTCTGCCCCTGTCAACTGGCACACGCGCCTCTCGCTCGGACCTTCGACGCCGCCCAACCCCATTGTCTTTCCGTCTACGCTCCTGCCAGCCCTCCTCGACGCGACGCGACGATGCAATCTCCTGCCGACAGCAACCGCGTCTCGCTCTAGGCCACGCCACTGATGCCCCATCATGCATTTCGCCTCCTTATCCCTTCTGGCCTCGGCCCTGGCGCGCTCAGCCTCCGCCTGGGTCCTACTGTAGGCGACCCCCTCGCCCGGCTCGCATCTGGGCCTTCTTGACTCCCCTGGCGTTGGTCACCTCTAACTGACGCATGTGGAATTCGCCTTTCTCTTCTACCTTCAACATTGCAGCCTGGGCCTCCAGTTCTTGGGCGACCTGCCATTCCGAGTTCCGCAATGCAATGAAAATACACACTGCGCCCCTGCCTGCCACGTGCGCGAGCACTCCCAACGCGCGGGCACGGCACAGCCTCCTCCACGGCCCCGGCATCGAGATTCCAAGGCACTCCCACATCCAGAAGCGGACTGCACGCAGGCTCTGCACAGACATCATGCTCACGCACTCACGCACGAGACACTCCACCTGACGGACTCACAAGGCGCTGACCTGATATGCTTCGCACCATGCCAGTCGCCCCGGGCACTCAGAGCTCCTCCGCGAAGTGTTCGGCAAGTCCCTTGGCTGCAAAAACTTTATGAGCTGAGTCGTCGGAGTATCTCTCTCCCTCTCTCACTCTGCTTCTCTGTCGTGATCTGGCTGAACAGATATTTCTCTACGGGTTGGAGCGACGGAGGGTTGGCCGTTCTCGAACTCTGGCGACTGCGACGGCGCTGGCTGGTGTCTCGTTGCCGCGGCTAAAAGTTCATACACCACATCACGCTATCTCGTTATCCTCAAAGGCTGGGAACCTTCAGTCGAATCACCGCCCCTTGCGCCGTCGATGACAGAAGCTTGCCCGAATTCGATTCTGTCGGAAGCAGACGAGGTGGGAGACCCGGAGAAGTCTCTGGATGGCTTTTCGCTGCTCCCATGCAGCTTCGGCACTTAACAGGGTCCGAGCATGCTGAAGACCAAAGCATTCGTCCTCGGATAGACCATCACGGCGCCGACCCAAAACCTGCCAATGGGCCTCCACATCGTTCTCCGCCACCGTGCCGCTGGACACAGGGTGGGCGCGTCCTCGGGTCTTCTCACTACTCTTTTCCGGCTCAGCTCTCGCTCCCGGGGAATTTTGATTCAAAGGGTTCGGGGCCCCTCGGCCCAAATCTCACGGGGTTTGTCGCGCGCCCCCCCGGCCCCCCCGAATGTTGTCGCATGAATTTCTCGGGCCCACGAGGGCCCCGAGGCGGGCCGCGAGGGCCCCAAGGAGCCCCCAAGGCGGTCCAAGAGGGCCCCGAGTCGCCGAACGATCGCTCCTCCTCGGCTCCCCAGCGCTCCTGAACGGCCCGAGGAGCTTCCAAATTCGCCCCAGGACCGCCCCAAAACCGCCGCCACGAATGTTTTAAAAACAACCTTTGAGGGCCCAAAGACAACCCAAGAGGCGCCCAAAACGGCCCAACAGGACACTAGGACAGCCCCGAAAGGGGCAGAAAAGACAAGGAAACACAAACCGAAAATCCTCACCTGCCGCCCCAAGGGGCCCCCAGGAGGCTCCTAGCGGCGCCCAGGAGGGCCCAAGAGGCCCCGAAGGGACTCCTATTCAAGAGGCGCCCAAACTGGCCCCAACAGGCCCCAACGATCATCAAATAGGATTCATACCCACAGCCCAAGCACGGTGGCGGGATGAGCCAAAAACCATGAAATTTTCGTTGACGTAGGGTGGGGATTATGAGCATTCGCCAATGGCGGCTTGGACTTGACCTTTACCCCCTCATCGTCTTGAATGCACTCAACACGCGCACTGTCCCGGCCCAGCCCTCGTCCACGAGGTCGGTGCCGCACGCTGCGACATGCGCCTCTGGCCCCGCCCATGCATCCACGGGATGCGCTGTCGTACGATCGCACCTCTCCCCTGGGACAGACTTGGTCGCAGTCCAGTTCTTAGTCGGCTTTCCTGGCACTGGTCGGACGATCGAAAACTCCCGTGATCCTGGATCACGCCATACGCGGAACCCTGTTTCACTGTTTGGGTTCAG